GGTTCCTTTCGGTCTCCCCTTAAACCCACCCAACATGTGCACCACTGTTTTGAGAAACACCCAAAACGGGATTGTGACAGTGTCTTTTGCAGATGGTACCCCTTTTCAGGTCGGTTTCAAGGGAAACAAAAAGGACAACACACTATTTGAGGGTCCAGATTCCTATTCATTCTGACACATATCCATTTGGCTGTTTTATAATGGGGGATCACACAAACTGGTGACTTTCCCTCTAGTTCCCTTTGAAACCCAATAAATGTGACCCTCAAACACGTCTTTACATGCCAGGTGTTGATCAAAGAATGGTGTTGATGCCAGGTTTGGGATCTCTGTTGAAAGATCGTGCATGTTCATGCACACTTTACTAGAATCGATTTTCGGTTGCAACAGCTGAAGTCCATTCCGCTGTCGGTCCCAACCCGTTGCTGGGGAGGTTTTGAGTGCATCCCTTTAAGCGCTTCCAACAACTCTGAATTCTTGCAATGCCACCGAGAAAATGAACAGCCATATCTTGTTGGCCTTGTTTGAACGAAGCCAAAGAAGAAGCAAACAAGGGTGCCACCGGGTATGAGTCGACCACAACGTGCGCTGGTTCTTTGAGGTTGCCTGCCACAGTCCAACTTTCGGCTCGATTCCCAGGTGGTTTGTTTAAGGTATCCCTTTTAGGCCGTCCGAAGGGTACATCATTTGGGGACAGACCCATGAGCAGAAATAGGAATCGCCACGTCAAGGCGTTTGTCTTTTGCCTTTCTTGATTTGGGTGTTTTGTTTGTTGAGGATACCCAGGTACCTTGTTGAGGTTGTTTGAAAGGGAAGCCCAAACAAACCCCCTTGCAGGGGGTTCCCTACGTTAAAAGACACTCGTGTCATTCCGCTTGCATCCAACAGACGCTTGAGCTGTTTGCATTGCGAGGCTGGCTCATATTGCTTGCTGCAAGTGGTGCTGGCAAATGGCGCTCACCATACAGCCTTCAGCTTCTTTTTTGCCACCCGGCGATATGGCAGCGAGTTTCGGTGGGAAAGCCCTCCCAAATGGTTGGCAGACTTGACTTCCCACCTAAATGAAGTCCAACAAAGTTCATACCCATATGTGTGCCTCATGTGCCCGGAATTTGTGGATTGCCTTTAGGCTGGACCATTTTGTGTGATTGGTTCCCAAAACTTTGTGGCTGGCATCTGTTGGTTTCTATAGAATTGTGAGACCGATTCTTGTCAAGAAGCCTGGGTGGGTGGGCCCCTGAATTGGGTACACTGACCAAGTAAATATGTGAAACCTTACCTACTTCCCAGCCCATGAGGACGCCGGAAGCATTATCTGTGCCGTGTGAAAGGAGCATGGGGTATTTGTTGCGAACTGAGCTGCATTGGGCGAACTGGGAAGGCAACTTTGGGTGTTTCCTAAAAATGGTGAGCGCTTTTTGTTGATGGGTTGCTGGAGGAAAATAAGGGGAAGCAAGCATCTATGCCATGGTCAAAAGACCTCTGACTTGAGGTTGGCCATGGAATTTGAGGGATTTGGGACAACCATGAGAAGGATTGCAAGGTGAGACACAACCATATTCAGCAGATTCGGAGTCTTGATCGCTCTAAGGGCATCTTCGGCCCGCCTTTGATTTACTTGCGGCAGAAGGAAATGTTTACCAACGCAAAGCCTGCGGCGGCGAAGCAGGGCTGATGGGAATGAAAACCAGCTGAGCCCTTTTGGGTATGGATAAAGACCTGAAAACCCCACTACAGCCGTATTGTTGCTTTACGCGTTTGCCATGGGTATCTTCCGCAAGGATTTGTTGACAGGTCTCAAATGGCAGCCAAGCTTTGAGGAGCACCGGACTGGTCTTCATAGCTTGTGCCATGCTCACGGTGCAGGACGCTGTGCTTGCATTTGGAGTGTGTCCTTCAATGGGAATCGTACCCCTCCAGATGGTTTCCTTTTGGTCTCAGATTTCAAGCCCAAGGGAAAGTGGGGGTCCCCATTTGTTGGACACCCCAAATTTGCCGTAACGGCAGTGCTATGCCGCCCTCCTGCGAATACGCAGCCAGTGAGTGAGGGCATTGTTTGACGCGCGGAGACAAAGATGGGCAAGACAAGGTGCAAAAAGATGTTGCCCTCCCTTCTAAGGGCTGTTGAATTGCCCTGCCCCAGAAAGCAAAAGAAGCCAAACACAATTTGAGCCACAATCAAAGCCCGAGAGTCCCAGCCAGAAATAGCTGCGGCCGCCGCTCAGTTCTTTACATATTTTCCGGAATAAACAATAGAGGCACTCTGGTGCCATTCGATCGCCTGAAGGCTGGTGAACTGCATGTGAGGCCTGTGAGCAGAATGTTTGTAAGTGCAGTGTTTTGTGTTCACGGTGATTTTTGTTCATGAGCTGTGTTCCATTTGGTGTGCTTTGCCCGGATTGTGCACACGAGCAGCCTGGGTTCCACTTAGGTTTGTTGGCCATCTCCCAAGTCAAAAGGCTTGGGCCCCTTGTTCACGACACCGCTCTCCTTTGTTCAGGCCCCCCCGGGTCTCGTCTGGCAGATGTGGCGGTTCCTCGGCTCCGAAATTTGGGTGGATGGTGGGGCCGACCATGAATATCGATTCAAAACCTCGCAGAGCCCAGGGTTTTCTAGTAATCCAGGGTATTCAAGCATCACCTTCTGGGAAGTGTTGACGTGAGTTTGAAGCAGACATATCAACAATTCTACACCCTTCAACGCAACAACAGCATGGACCCTGAGATACGGGTACCCTTGAAAGGAAAATGGTCTTCCAGGAGGCCGTATTTAGGTTCCATGTTCTTTGTTGGAGGGTGAGGCTTATGGGGAGCTCACCCCACCCAAGCCTACAGTTTGGGTGGCCAGTGGGCATCTTCCCTGGTTTGTTTCATGGATTTCATCAAATGGAATGCATGGAACAGCCTCCTGAAAGTGGGGATGGATTTTTTTGGAGGTGTGAGGTGGCCACATTGCACGTTTGTGTTCATATCGGTCAGTCGCTTCCTCCAAAGCACGCTGAAAGGGGATAGTTGTCAAGTAATGTTTGTTTCCCCGGACGCCCTATTTCACGGCCAGATGAGTTGTGAAACGATGTTGGCATTGATCATTCTTTGTTGCGCGGCTTTCTGGGAGATGTTTTTTTTCTTGTTTTTTTTTCTCTGGCGACCTTGCCAAGGGTTCCGGTCACCACATCTGATTATCTTTGGAGAGTGCTGGATTCTGAGAAGGTTGGACACCTCTGAAGGAAATGTTGAGTCATGTCACTCACAATTTCATTGTGAACAAACACGAAACCAAAGTAGCCAACCAAAAGTACCAAACCAACGGGCTTGTCATCGAATTGCTGCATGCCACTTTTTGCAGAGGGTCACTGGCACTGAATGGGAAGCGCGAGTGCTTTGCCGACGCACCCTCCGCTGCTGAGGACTTTGTGCGTAATGAAGAGACCCCAAAAAGAAGCATGCGGTCTTCCTCTTGGTTTCTAACCTCAAAATCAAGGTACCAAGCCTCAAACATGACACACCCATAGGTTCGCTGACAAAGAATATTGGTGTTCGGCCAGTGTTGTACGACCATGGCTGGACTTTTTGCCTTTGCACGTTTTCAGGTAGTCCCTGGCGATGTCACTGGTGGGCGTCCGGTTGCGGCTGAGGCTTGGCGTTGCACCGTTGCACCCGACTTCCTGACCCGGACCAATCACGGCGTATGAGAAGGGTTATTCCTCGCACGGAACTAAGACGGTAGGTTGTTTCCTTCGCACCTTGAGCAAAGTCAGACTTAAGGGGGGTATCTTCCATAAACCGCTTGAGGGGTGCCTTGAATAGTAAGACGACATCTGTTTGGGCTGCATCCAGGTGCATACCGCTTCAGGGGTGCCTTGAATAGTAAGACGACATCTGTTTGGGCTGCATCCAGGTGCATACTTTGATTCGGGTTCCGAGTTGATGGGGGAAGTACCACTCTGGCTGGCCAATGTGCCGTTGATAAATCATTGCTTGCCCGGATTCTTTCAATTACCAGACGTGAATCTCCCTGTTGCTCATGTTTGGTACCTGGTTTGGTCTCCCTTGTGATCACCCAATCTCCGAGACTGCTTTTGACGTGTGAAGGTGCATCCGCCTTTGTACCTGGACATCGAATACTACCTGGAGCGCCAAGTTGGCCCGGCCTTGCATCGGCTCTTCATGCTGGTGCGAGGCGAGAGCCTGACGGCCTGCGATCCCGGCGCAAACGGATGGCACTGGGAGCCCATTGGGCCATGCTGCCGTTGGTTTCTTTCCCTTGTTTTTTTTTTGGTTTCCTTGGGATCATGTTGGTTTCCTAATCCTTATCGGTTTCCGTGGCAACAAGTACTAGAATGTTGATCTTAGGTTGGGCTTCTCACCTTTGAAGTAGAATAACGCAAAGGAAACATCAGCCGAAGCGAGGTAAAGGTGCAGAAACCCTTGCAAGGGGTGCCAGTTGTGTTTGACTTAAAGGCCTTGAATCTGTGGAACCCAGGCCTATGTCATTTGAAAGAACCGCCACTCCCACCTCGGAGCTGAATGAATGAATCAGCCTGCAGCATTGTTTTTGGCGGAGTAGAGCAGGGGTCAGGGGCACTGGAACACTCACCCTGGGTTCCTTACAGGGTGCACAGTTTCGAAGATGTCACTTTGTGTTTTAGTCAAAGTTGTTTACGAGTTCATTGCAAGGTCTCTCGTTTGGTTCAAGTCCACACGCTTTCCATTTTGTCCTTGGCAGGACCAAATGGGCAGCAAGGCTACGTGGATGTGCGCCGCTGGATTGCGGAGGGCCCGCGGAGCCGACGACGGTTCATTGGCCCCATACGAGAGAGAGAGGGAGAGGGAAGAACAGGGAACCAGACTGCCTGTTCCAGATTCCCAGCACAAGGCAAATCATTGCCTGTTCTGTGATGCAGAAGGCCATCCCCATGACTACTTTACGGTTTCCACAAGGGGTTTTCCACAAGGGGAGACCCCTTGGTGGCAACACCCCAGTGTTCCACCACTGTGGAGTGGTTTTACATCTTCAAAGGTTGGGTTTCTATGCCAATCTGCAGGGGAGTCAGCCTCGCCAATTTGGAGCGTGTGCCAAGATTGGGGATATGTGTCAAAACAGAGGACCCCAAATCATGGCTTCCTTTTGGTTCCCTTTGGAACCAATCAAACAAGGGAATCCTCAAGCCCCCTCAAACTCATAAATGGGGAGATATGGCCCAAAACTATTTGAGTGACGTTTTCTGGCCCAGGGATGTGGCGGCGATGGCATCTGTGGGCTCCGTCTTCGGAGCCAAGCCAAAAGGCTGCGCGGCCTGCGGACAGCGGCTGGCGCCAGGTGTGGTGAGGGCGGGGGGCGCCCATTTTAGTCTATTTTAGTGGGGATTGGGATGTTCACTGGGGGTGCGGGATTTTGACCCATGGCCACTTGTATTGGTTTGAATAGGGGTGGCTCGTCTTTTTGTTGGGCCCCACAAAGTTCAGAATGGGTGGTGTTCCTTTGGGTTTCCAGACTAATTACACAAAAGGGGGGGGTAAAGCCCAACAAAAGACGAGCTGCTATGGGATGGGGCCCAAAGTCTCAGTTTACATTAGGTTCACTGACCAGAACCAACGGCTTAGGTTGGGGCCCACAATTGAACAACAAAAGTGTTGAATATCCAAGCAGTCTTTTGTTTTTGTTGGTGGGATCCCCAAGTTTGCAGAAGAAAAACACCCAGTACAAAGGTAAACATAGATACAAATGTGCTCCTACGATTATGACTCATTTGAATGTTCTTACTACCCAACGCGCCACTGGACATATTTCGGTAGTACTTCTGACGCAGGCGCTGTCCTTTGCACTGCCTGCCGGGAAGAAGCAGTGCCTTAGCCCGAAGCATTGCTCCGAGCCTCTAGAAGATGAGACCTGGGAAGCAAGCTGGTTTGGCTGTTTCCTTTTGGTTCCCAGTAAAACCTACATCCCCCATAGTGCCCTTTTACCTTTTTTTGCGGGAGGGTTCCCCTGCTAAGATAGACTACAGAAAAAGGGGTACCCTTATTCTAACCTCTCTACTGGAGGACCTAGATCCATAAGGGGCTCTAGCTTTGTGAGAAACTCATCTGTGTTCCTTTGGTTTTCCCCTTTAGAGGCGAGCCGTGTTCCCTTGTGCTGATCGGCCCTTAGGAGTGGGCGGGCCTGGGGTAGAGCTGTTTGCTTTGAGGTCGGTATTGCTTTGTTTAGCAGTTGCTCATATGTAATGTGCATAATGCCGACCTGGTTAAGCAATAATTTGTTTGCATCTATGTACAATTTACAATGGCCTACATAGGGATTCCCGAAGGCCTGCTCTCCATAAGAGATGACACAAGTATTAGAGCATAGTGAGGAGGGCTGAAACAAAATGTGGCACAGTGCCAACCAGCAACACGTTTGACAGCGGCTAGTACATTTTCGGGAACCTATGTTCGGAAACAATCTCACAGAGCTACTACACTTTAACGTTCACAGAATATGGGCTGGGATCTAAACATTTTGTCAAAGGCTGAGGTTGCTTGATCAAACAAATGGCCTCTTTACTGATGACTTTTTCGAGAGTTAGAGTTGCCCACGTGATACCCAAAGTGTTTGGCAAACTCAGGCTGTTGTGGCTGGCCGAGAAAGATGTTAATCGAACACCATGCCTTCTCGGGTCCATCTGCAAGAATCTTATTGGATGATTGGATGGTTCATTTACAGAAGTTGTAGCACCCTGTGGTTGCTTGGCCCGATTGACGGGAATACCATTGCATTCTGATTGAATATGAAGCCCTTGGATCCTGCCAACCCTGGACACCTTGAAGACAAACAAATCATGCCGAAGCAGGGTTTTTGTGTGATGTCTGGGATTCAGGGGGTGTTCATGTGTTGGAGATGCTTTTGGACGTGGCACTCTTCAGGCATAGGTGTTTTTTGGGTGAGCTGGTCAACAATCGATGGATTTAACTGGCTTCAGCTTTGGTTCATGTGTTATTTGCCAGTGCAATCTAATCTTGAGGCAGGAATACGTCCTCCAGTCAAGTAGTGGCTGCTTTGTCTTTGATATTCCTTCCTCGCAGACATTCAGATGTATGAGGACCCGTGATGGTGAATGACCGGAGGTGAGGTTACTCATCAACAAATAGTAAGCCTGAGTCAAGCTGGGGTTTCCGCAAAGTCTCTCCACGGTTTCCGAAAGGCTCCCGATCCGAGTCGACATGACATATCCAACAGGCATGACAAGCACACGCTCTTTGGCCTTCGACTTAGGGCCCTGGGTTCCTCTTGTGGCAACTGGGTCCCGCATGAGTGTAGCGCCAAAAAAAACAATAGAGATAACAGGCGCAGAGTTATCAGGTGGTTAGTAACAATAGTCATGACTTAGTCATACCCCACTTCCCATGTTTGTGTGGGCAATCAGGGTTGACCACTTACTCTCCTCCCTACAATCATGGAAACTGGCACTGACAGGAGGTGTTCAAAGACTACTTTCCTTTTGGGGAAGCCCCCTATCCACTTCCA